GTATCACATTATGGTTTTAATTTGGATTTCCTTCATAATTAGTGATGCTGAGCACTTTTTCATATGTTTGTTGGCCATTTATATATCTTCTTTGGAGAATTGTCTATTCATGTCCTTAGCCCACCTTTTGATGGAATTTTTTTTTTCTTGCTGATTTGAGTTCCTTGTAGATTCTGGATGTTAGTCCTTTGTCAGATGTATAGTTTATGAAGATGCTTTCCCACTCTGTTGGTTGTCTGTTTACGCTGCTGATTATATCTTTTCCTGCACAGAAACTTTTGAGTTTAATTAAGTCCCATCTATTTATCATTGTTTTTCTTGCATTTGCTTTGGGGTTCTTGGTCATGTAGTCTTTGCCTAAGCCAATGTCTAGAAGGCTTTTTCTGATTTTATCTTCTAGAATTTTTATGATTTTAGGTCTGAGATTTAAGTTTTTGATCCATCTTGAATTGATTTTTGTATAAATTGAGTGATGAGGATCCAGTTTTGTTCTTCTGTATGTAGCTTGCCAATTATTCCAGCACGATTTATTGAATAGGGTGTCCTTTCTCTACTTTGTGTTTTTGTTCACTTTGTCAAAAATCAGTGGGCTATAAGTATTTGCTTTTATTTCTGGGCTCTCTATTCTGTTCCAGTGGTGTACTTGCCTGTTTTTATACCAATATCGTGCTGTTTTGATAACTATAGCCTTGTAGTATAATTTGAAGTCTGGTAATGTGATGCCTCCAGATTTGTTCTTTTTTCTGATTCTTGCTTTGGTTATGTGGGATCTTTTTTGGTTCCATATGAATTTTAGGATTACTTTTTCTAGTTCTGTGAAGAGTTATGATAGCGTTTTGATTGGAATTGCATTAAATGTATAGATTGCTTTTGGTAGTATAGACATTTTCACAATATTGATTCTACCCATCCATAAACATGGGATGTGTTTTCATTTGTTTGTGTCATCAGTCACTTCTTTCAGTGGTGTTTTGTAGTTTTCCTTGTAGAAATATTTCACCTTCTTGGTTAGGTATATTCCCAAGGTTTTTTTTGTTTTTGTTTTTTTTTATTTTTGGCTCTTGTAACAGTGGTTAAGTTGTTGATTTGATTCTCAGCTTAGTCACTGTTGGTACACAGCAGTGTTACTGATTTGTATTCATTGATTTTGTATACTGAAACCTTACTGAATTCATTTATCAGTAAATGAATTTTTATTGATAAAATTAATTGGATTTAATAAAATAAAATATTTGCAACCTATGTAATTAACAAAAATATAAAATAGTATGTACAAAACAAAAATTATTTTTAAAAACGCTTGAACAATCATTTCACAGTGAAAGAAATACAAATGATAAAAATATAAGAAATTATTAATTCATAGTAATCAAGAAATGTCAAATTAAAATATGAAATATATATATTTTACTGATGAAGTTGGAAATGTACAGTGTGTCTCAGGATGTGTCAAAACCATTATACGTACTTTAGAGATATCTCAGTAATTCCATTTCTAGGAATTTATGCTTCTCTTTCAAAAATGCATAACTGTGAAAAGTAAAGATGTTCATTGTAATGGGAAATCAGTAAATGAATTTTTACTGATAAATGAATTCAGTAAACTAGTAAACTAGGAGCTTTTTGGATGAGTCTTTAGGGTTTTCATGGTACATGATTTTATCATTGGTGAACCATGACAATTTGACTTCCTCTTTACCAATTTGGATGCCCCTTATTTCTTTCTCTTGTCTGATTGCCCTGGCTAGGACTTCCAGTACTATGTTGAAAAGAAGTGGTGAAAGTGGGCATCCTTGTTTTGTTCCAGTTCTCAGGGGAATGCTTTGAACTCCGCAACTCCCCACGCCCCATTCAATATAATGTTGCCTGTGGGTTTGTCATAAATGGCTTTTATTACCTTGAGGTGTGTCCCCTCTATGCCTATTTTACTGAGAGTTTTCATCATAAAGGGACACTGGATTTTGTCAGATGCTTTTTCTGCATCTATTGAGATAATCATATGATTTTTGTTTTTAATTCTGTCTATGTGGTGTATCACATTTATTGACTTGCACCTGGCATAAAATTTTCTTTTTAAATAGGATTTATGGAATTACATAGAGCTAGTTAAAACCACAGACTATATAAGTCAAAGAGACCTTACAGCTAATTTTGTCATTAATGGAAGGAAGATTTATGTCTTTTGAACATTTCCCCATGTTATATGGCTAATTTGTAACTATGGAAGTGCTAGTGAACATTAGTCTCTCTTTTATTTATTTACGTGTAACTTAGGTAGCACAATGTTTATGCCAAGATGTAACTGTGTCGGGTTAAAAAATTTATATGAAGTAATTTAACACAATACTTTGTACATTACAGATGCTCAATAACTAGCTGTAATAGACATGAAATTTCTCACTGATTTATTTTCCATTTAGGTTGAAAAGTAATAAGTGACATTTTCTCCTAAGAAATCAAACAGGGAAGAAAAGAAGAAGTTTTCTTTTTTGTTTTTGGTTTTGGTTTTTTAAGGCCAAATGTCATTTAAACATATTGTTTCTTTTCCTTTGATTGGAGAGGTTTTCAGTCTGCTTTGTGAGAATATAATTTCTTATCAATCCCCAGCCATTTGATCTTGACGGTCAGCACTATTGAATTTAAGGGCAGTAGTAGTAAGAAACTAAGAAAAGAAAGATGCCTTTTTTCTGAGGAATCACTGATATGGAAACCAAATTTCCTAACAAAATCTTGAATTCTAGTAATACAAAATGAATAACATGTTTGTAAATCAAGGTTACTACAGTGAAAAATATAAAAATCTCTAAAGATTTTTAAAAAGTGTTTTTTAAACTTCCATATCCTATTAATGAATAAACACCTTGTTTTAAAGGGTACTAGAAATATTCTTTCTTAAATGATGAGTTATAAATACATATTATTAGACACTCAAACACATACACATACAAATACATATTAATTACTCAGCTTAAATCTATAATACTTAACAATTGTATTAAAGTCAAGACCAGAGTAAATGTCTGTTAAAAATTATTTATTGTTAACTATATAATTAGATAAGAAATTGTGAGTTATGAAGAAAGAGGAGGCAAAATATTATTTGAAATAAACATTGTGTATCTGTAAAACACTAGTTTTTAAAAATTATTTAAAAAATAGTTCAGTATGGTGTCTGAATAAGAAGTATAAAAATATATAATTTTAGTGTGTGCCATTTAGAAAAATGTAATGAAAGAAAGGATACTACACATAATGCAACGAAGATAAAAACACATTTACAAAAATTTACCAAAAATTGCATAGGACTAAAAGAATGAAAATTGTATAAAATGCCACTGAGGTCCCAGGGCAGAACACTTGAAAAACAGCTGATACATATAAAAATATCAATTATATAAGAATGAACCAGAAAATCTAATGTAATCTAAAAAACAAAATCCAGAAAGGCCATTTTATTAAACAGTTCACACAGAAAAGTAAACATGTTATTAGTTGGAAAAAGAATACAGCAAGAAATGGCTTTGTATACATTAAAAGAGGTTACTACTATGATGTTTCCAGTGCAAGCATTGGCATAACAGTGAAATGCCATGGTAATTTTTAAATATGCACGAGCAAGTGTACAAAATTTTGTATGTAGTGTTTTAAAGCAGGGAAGAAAAAAGCAACTTACTCAATACTTTTTTTCTTTTTTTTAATGACAGAGTCTCATTCTGTCACGCATGCTGGAGTGCAGTGGCCCAGTCTTGGCTTACTGCAACCTCTGCCTTCTGGGTTCAAGCGATTTTCATTCCTCAGTCTCCCCAGTAGCTGGGATTACAAGTGTGTGCCACCACGCCTGGCTAATTCTTGTATTTTTAGTAGAGACAGCATTTCGCCAGGTTGGCCAGGCAGGTCTCAAACTCAGCCTCGGGTGATCAGCGTGCCTTGGCCTCCCAAAGTGCTGGAATTACAGACTTGAGCCACTGTGACCAACCTCAATAAACGGTATTTCTATAACTGCCTGAACTTTTGTTTTGAAAAAAATAAAAATTATATTTATCTCACTTCTCACACCAAAACATATTCCGGATGTTTCAAAAATTTTAATAGCTAAAATACAACTCTGAGTTTTTAAATGGATACTAAAAATGATATTGGACTAGGGAAGATCTTCTTTGTAAATATGTAAAATATAAAATGAGAAATTATAAAAGAAAAAAATAAAATCTGGATTAAAAAATTAATTAGATTTAATAAAATAAAATATTTGCAGCATATATAATTAACAAAAATATAAAATAGTATGTTAAAAAAACAAAAGTTGTTTTTAAAAATGCTTGAACAGTCATTTCACAGTAAAAGAAATACCAATGATAAAAATATAAGGAATTATTAATTCATAGTAATCAAGAAATGTCAAATTAAAATATGAGGAATATATATTTTACTGATGAAGTTGGAAATTTACAATGTGTCTCAGGATGTGTCAAAACTCTTATAAGTACTTTAAAGATATCTCAGTAATTCCATTTCTAGGAATTTATGCTTCCCTTTCAAAAATGCATAACTGTGAAAAGCAAAGATTTTCCTTGTAATGGGAAAATTAGAAATAAAAGTATGTTTTCAGTGGAATGGTGTAAATTGGAATACAATCAAATAACATCAAGTATTGGAAGTAAATGTAAAGTATACAGTTATTCTGGTAAAAGTCAAATTACAAATCAGTATATGTATTAGAATCTGCATACAAATATTAATAAACATACACTAAAAATTTTGGCAGTGGTTCTGCAATGTGAGATTACACTTTCTACTTCTGTGTTGTTTGCTTTTTATATTGAGTATATTTCGCTTACCTAAAGGCAATTAAAATAAAATAATATAATAAAATCTTAGTACTAGCTCCTTCTGCAGAGCACAGCAATAGGTAATGATACACATTCCAGTCTTCATATCTGTTCTAGAAGATAAAATGGCTTTTAGAGAGATGATAATCTCATTTTGTTTTCTCCTGCTAGGGAAAGGTGAACATGGGAAACCTTACCCCCTTACTGAAGAGGACCATGATGACTCAGCTTACAGGGAAAATGGTTTTAATATTTTCGTCAGCAACAATATTGCGCTGGAGAGGTCTCTGCCAGATATTCGTCATGCTAAGTGAGTATCAGCACATCAGTGATCAGGTTGGGGTTTTTTTTGGTTTGTTTGTTTTGTCCTTTGATTGTTTTTTTAAATGTGTATCGCTGTGAGATATGTAACCAAATATTTTATCCCAATAATTTTGATAAAACTCATATTGCATCATCTTAAATATACTTGATCTAAATTGGAGTAACCATTAAAATTTCAAAATAATTCTGAAAAATATTAAATACAAATTTTTGTTGACTGTGTTAACTCATTAAAATGAAATACTTTAAGACGATATCCATACTTTAAACTTTTGATCATGTAAATTACAAAGCAAATATTTTTTGCTGGTTATTAGAGCTACAGAACTGTCTACATGTGCATGTCTTCTATGAACTTAATTCTCACCCCAGATAGATTTAGTGCCATGGTTGTTGCATTTTCATAAAGAATACCCTAAATGAATGCATCCATAATCCAAAAGTAATAAGTAATGAGGCCGGGCGCAGTGGCTCAAGCCTGTAATCCCAGCACTTTGGGAGGCCGAGACGGGTGGATCATGAGGTCAGGAGATCGAGACCATCCTGGCTAACCTGGTGAAACCCCGTCTCTACTAAAAAATACAAAAAAAAAAAAAAAACTAGCCGGTGAGGTGGCGGGCGCCTGTAGTCCCAGCTACTTGGGAGGCTGAGGCATGAGAATGGCATAAACCCGGGAGGCGGAGCTTGCAGTGAGCTGAGATCTGGCCACTGCACTACAGCCCGGGCAACAGAGCGAGACTCCATCTCAAAAAAAAAAAACAGTACTGATTGTTGGTTCAATTTCCTGTCACTTTCTGAACTTGATCTAAAGTAGCTTGTCTATTGACAGGGAGTTCAGTTTGTATTGAATTGTAACTGCATATTATAGTTTAAATTATAGTACTATATATACTTACCCAAAATCCATCTTTTCTCTACCCACCCCCATCTACCTCTAACATCACTTACTGTACTTTTCATTTTACTGTGTTATCGTTTATCTGATAGCATAAACAATGCAAAGGATACCAAGAATATGGAAAGTGATAAAAATTTGGAATGTGGTATTGGCACATGTATCTGATAAATCTATCTAACTGTTCTAATACAGCTATCCTTCCACCCACAACAACCCAACAAGTTTCCTTTGGAAACCCTGGTGTGAGAAAGAGAAAAGGAAATAAAAACCAGGGCAACTAATTAAAATAAGAATTAGAAATCTAAGTTAAACCAGTAATTTAAAGCAAATAAAACTCCTTAACTTTGTGCAAAGATAATTGACCCTTTAGAAAAATATCAGTACATTATGGTTTGAAAAACTATTTTCTAGTTGCCATTTTGTATCTTTAGAAATTTATTTAAAATTATGAAGTAATTACTGTTTTTCTCCTCATGTTTTATATGAAGTTGCATTTCCCAATATAGTTAAACAGAGGACTAATGTGAAGAACAAATCATTTTTTTCCTAAATTGAGTGCTTTATATATTGACGCAGGCCTTTTAACCAGACAAATTATCCCCAGGTTACCTGAAATTATCTACAGTAATTCTCACTGACCAAGAACATTTCTAGTTATGAGAAATTTTAATACCTAATTGCACATAATCAAAGATGCATTAAATTGCATTGTTGGCATAATAAATATGCTAAGAGAATAATTTCTATCTATCCAGTTCCTCCCTGCGCCCACACTTTGGAGTTGCCCAGGCTAGAGTGCAGTGGCATGATCTCAGCTCACTGCAAGCTCTGCCTCCTGGATTCACACCATTCTCCTGCCTCAGCCTCCTCAGTAGCTGGGACTACAGTGGTCCGCCACCACGCCCAGCTAATTTTTTGTATTTTTAGTAGAGACGGGGTTTCACCATGTTAGCCAGGATGGTCTCGATCTCCTGGCCTTGTGATCTGCCCGCCTCAGCCTCTCAAAGTGCTGGGATTACAGGCATGAGCCACTGGGCCTGGCCCCCACCCCCACACTTCTAATCTCAATCTCTTAATGTGTATTCAAGTAGAAATAATGACAAGTTTAGAAACAGTGCAGAAAATCACTGAAGTCAAAAGAAGGCAGTTATTCCCATTCTTCTCAAAGACTATTTTTAGTGTGGTCACCATCTTTTAAGAAAAGATCTTCTCATGTAATAATGGGAAAAAAAAATGGAAAGATGTAAAATAAATTCCGAAATTTTTATTAGGGTCACTGAATTTACAGTATGAGGAAAGCACTATAATAAATGTTACATAAGAAAAATATGGCCAAAATATAATCTGTGATAATATTCCAACTTAGTTACTAAGGCTGGATATTTAATAGGACAAGTGGTCATATAGTAAGAAAAAAAAGAAAAAAATATGAAAAACAAATAACAACAGCAACAACAAAAACCTTGAGAGGGTTTGAAATGGATAAAAAGAAAGTGTTAAGCCTGATACTACCAAGAATAAAGTTGACTTTGGTGAGGTCAGTATTTGACTCCTAGCAATGCTGGAAGAGGAGTCTGATGTCACCTCTGATTTTACCAGTGCTCCACCTGCAGGAAACCGAGAGCCAAAGAATGTCTTACAGGTTCCCATTGTTTAAAGTATTATGCTTTTGATTTCATCTGTGCTTCACCAAAGGCAGGTACATTTATCCACAAGAGTATGCAGCTCTGTGTAAGTGCTCTTTGAAATTATAAGATCAACTTGTGACATATTTCAGTATTATCTATTTAACTAGGCTGAAAGTGATGGACCATAGCGTTTTTATATTGACACAATCTATAGAACAGAATGCAAACTTTGTATGACTTTTAAAATAAAACATAACACTTCTAAGAAACTTTTCCTTTTCAGTAAGCCAACTGAAACTACAGTCTCAGAGTGCTAGCAGGGAAGAGTTTATTTTTCTTTATTCTAGGATTTTGCAATGGAAGATATGGGGACTCCTATCTTGACATTTAACTGAACTCGAACTTATTCTAAAGCATACAAGCCGGACTTACGCCGTGTGATAAACTATGTTGGCCACTCCCTGTATATTTAAGTGCTCTGCACTCTTTCATATTCTCATATTTAGTTTAAAAAAATCATGGTTTTATATGTTTTGATATGTAGTGCGCATTCTAGTTCACTATGAAGAATATTTAAGACGAGTTATTCCAGAAATCCTAATGCATAGGTATTTTTTAAAAAAATTTCCTGATTCATTTCTTCTTCACTAGTATAAAAATAAACTGCTTTTTTGGCTTTATTATTTCCAAATCAGCACTATATATCCTGAATTACAAGCCATAGATGAAAGACAGTATATTGGCATGTGTGCAATAACTTGATCAGTATTGGGGGAAACCCCATCCCCGATATTTAATGTGGGTTCTTTTCTATTTCCCTAAGCATTGACTGGTCTGAGAAATAAAGGGAAAGAGTACAAAAGAGAGAAATTTTAAAGCTGGGTGTCCGGGAGAGACATCACATGTCCGCAGGTTCCGTGATGCTCCCTGAGTCGTAAAACCAGCAAGTTTTTATTAGTGATTTTCAAAAGAGGAGGGAGTGTACGAATAGGGTGTGAGTCACAGAGATCACATGCTTCACAAGGTAATAAAGTGTCACAAAGCAAATGGAGGCAGAGCAAGATCAAAAGACCACAGGACAGGGCAAAATTAAAATTGCTAATGAAGTTTCGGGCATGCATTGTCATTGATAACATCTTATCAGGAGACAGGGTTTGAGAGCAGACAACCTGTCTGACCAAAATTTATTAGGCAGGAATTTCCATGTCCTAATAAGCCTGGGAGCGCTACAGGAGACCGGGGCTTATATCATCCCTTCGGCTTTGACCGTAAAAGATGGCCGCCCCCACGGGGGCCGTTCATAGACCTACCCTCAGGGGTGCATTCTCTTTCTCAGGGATGTTCCTTGCTGAGAAAAAGAATTCAGCGATATTTCTTCTATTTGCTTTTGAAAGAAGAGAAATATGGCTCTGTTCCACCCGGCTCACTGGCAGTCAGAGTCCAAGGCCATCTCCCTTGTTCCCTGAACATTGCTGTTATCCTGTTCCTTTTTTCAAGGCGCCAGATTTCATATTGTTCAAGCACACATGCTCTACCAACAATTTTGCAGTTAATGCAATCATCACAGGGTCCTGAGGCAACATAGATCCTCCTCAGTTTACAAAAATGATGGGAAGTAAAGAAGAGATTAAAGTAAAGAAGAAGAGATTAAAGTAAAGACAGGCATAGGAAATAGCAAGGGTATCGATTGTGGAAGTAATAAGCATCCATGAAATCTTCACAATTTATGTTCAGAGATTTCAGTAAAGAGAGGTGTAAGAAATCATAAAAGTATTAATTTGGGGAACTAATACGTGTCCATGAAATCTTCACAATTTATGTTCTTCTGCCATGGCTTCAGCCGGTCCCTCCATTTGGGGTCCCTGACTTCCCGCAATAGATCAGTCTTACTTTTATCCAAAAAATAAATTTCAAGCTTTTCACTTTTGTTTTTAATTTTTTTTATATTTCTTCCAAATGCTCTTAACATCTCCCTATCTTACAAATTGTTTCAGCTTCTTACACTATCTATGCTTTGGTATGTACAATTTTTTAATCTTTTTTTATATACACCTAGCCCTACACTTTTGGTTGAATTTTTATTTTTATTTATTTATTTTTTTTGAGACAGAGTTTCACTCTTGTTGCCCAGGCTGGAATGTCACGGCACAATCTCAGCTCACTGCAACCTCTGCCTCTGGGGTTCAAGCAATTCTCCTGCCTCAGCCTCTCAAGTAGGTGGGATTACAGGCATGCACCACCACGCCTGGCTAATTTTGTACTTTTAGTAGAGACAGGGTTTCTCCATGTTGGTCAGGCTGGTCTCAAACTCCCAACCTCAATCTGCCTGCCTTGGCATCCCAAAGTGCTGGGGTTATAGGCATGAGCCACTGTGCCTGACCCTGGTTTATTTTTATACATATTTTTGAGCACATACTTGATGTATTTTAAATATTCACTCCCTTCCTCTGTTAGTGCGAA